GGTGCACGGAGACCAACACAAACAGCGGCAGAGAAAGGGGCCTTTGTGGCGAGCGGAGGGACGGCTGCTGGGCTGCAGGGAGAGTGCCAGCACCGTGCGGCCAGGGCTGCAGCTGGCAGGTGTTGCTCCCAGGTCCCCCCAGATTGCTGCCCTGAGGGTTGGGGGGCTGTGTGGAATGCTGGGGGTTGGGGGCTGTGGTCTCCAGAGCCAGTGTTTCCTCCCTTCCTTCCTCCCTCCCCCTCTTCCTTCCTTCCTTCTTCTTTTTCTTTTTCTTGCTCTTTCATCATTTTTCTTTTAAAAGTTTTTTTTTGGTTATTAATTTTGGTAATTACAAAAGTGGCACATGCTCCTTTCCCTGGCAGATTCATACCAAGAGGGAGGCAGGGCACAGAGTTTCCCCGCCCGATCCCTGTGCTTGGGCTCTCCCGTGCCTGCCGGTGTCCCAGGTGCGGACACCTTGCACAGCTGGGCCTTTCTACTATTTGTTTCAGAAAATAAATACATAAATAGATAAAACACCAGGCCTCGCCGTCTCAGTGGTTCTCAGTCAGAATATTTGGAAATGTGTTAAAGCTTTTCTGCTATTTTTGTGACAGTGACCGGAGGATGGGGGGTGGGGGAGGACTGGTGGTGAAACTCGATTGCCATGAAGGGACAAGGGGCGCTCAGCGTCCTTCAGTGGTGGGACAGTTTCCACGTCGCCTGTGCAGCGCGCTCTCCCAGTCTGGCTCCGTGTGCCCGTCCTACAGCGTTTCTCAGACGGAGAGGTGGCTATTCACAGGCCTAGGGATTGTTTTTTTCACTATTTCAAACCATATCACAAAACGGCTCCTTTGTATTACATCCCCTTGGGGGTGTTTTTCATTCCCGGTGATCACCTGTGAAAGTGGGGGCCGCTGGACCACACCAGAGGGTGTTTCCTGCGTCAGAAGGAAAGTCAGATTCTTTTCCGAAGGGCGCGGCGCGGTTCCCACAACAGCACCCCCCACACCGCAGCGAACTTCGGTGTTTCAAGTTCTCGCTTGCGTGGGGCTGAAAAATGGTATCTCACTGTTGCTTCAGTTTGCATTTTCCTAAACTCCGATGAGGCTGAGCATCTTCCAAATTTTGTATTGGCCGCTGGCTTTCCTCTTCGCCATTCCTGCTTGATGGGCCCTCCCCGTGCGGAGGGGGACAGTGCGGTAAAGTGCCCTCGTCACATCACGTTGAGGGTGTGTGACATCAGCATGAATTATCACCATCGATGTCACCCTCGCTAAATAATCCTCGGACACGCCCCGCGTGTGCGTGCCGCACGGGACCCTGGCTGAGACCCAAGTGCCCTTCAGGGGCCACGGGCGGGGCCCTGGCTGCAGCGGCCAGCTCCTCCGCGCTGCAGCACCTCAGACCGAGGGCGCTCAGGTCATGCTCTCCTGAGAACTCTGCCTGTGCCTTTGAGTCACCGGATGGCAGCTCCGCCTCCTCGCAGGAAGCCCCAGTCCCCACACACAACTCCAGGCCCTTCCAAAGTAGCAACCCACGCTTGGCTGAGGGCGGCGGCCGCCACGTTCCCGTCACCTCAGGGCGAGTGGAAATAGCAGGCATCGCCCCCACTCTTTTCCCTCAAGGCACTAGGCCTCCATGCTGTGCCTGTGATTGACGAGGGTGGGAGCTGCAGGGCTGGGCTCAGTCAGGCCCCCTGGTGGGCTCTGGGGGCAGGTTTCTGGCCCCAACTGGGCACTCTTCAAACCTAGGCCTACCGCCCTTTGGAGGCCCCTGTGTTGGGACCACGGACGAGTCCCTCTCATTCTCCTGTTATGCTGTTGAGTGAGCATGTGGAACCCGATGCCAGTTCTGGGCCTGGTTCAGAGGGACCCAGCGGCCACTGCACTCACTGCCTGTGCTGGCAGCTGGGGGCAGAAGTGACATCAAGCCAGGCGCGGCCTGGACTCTGTGGGCCTCACAGGTTGGTGGTCTGAAATGGAGCAGAAACCAACAGTGTCCAGGCATAACGAGCCCCCAGTGGAGGGGGCTGGTGAGGGGGCTCCTCTGCACAGCCAGGCCTTCCTGAGAGGCTGACCCGGAGTGAGACCCGCAGGGTGCGAGGGGGCCGGAGGAGTCCAGCTCGGCGTCTTGCCTTGGGGTGCAGGGCATCTCTAGGGTCACCCCACCCCAGCCCCAACACTGCTAGCCAGCCTCCGCTCAGGTAGGATTTTCCCCATGGGAGCCCAGCCCTGCCTGTAGCCCCCAGGCCCAGCACGCTGAGACTGGCTGTCTCCCCAGCTGCCGGCGCTCGGGCGGGAGAGTGTGGGCGGCAGGCCTGCTTCTTCCCGCGCTTCCGTCCTCCTGCCCTGCCCCAGCTCCCCCACCACCCCACCCTGTAATTTCCCTGTCTGCCGTGGGAGCTTATTTGGGATTTACCCAGGGCTGAGCTCACTCAGAAGGAGGACACAGTGCTCCGCCCACCTACCGTGTCACCTTCCTGCAGAGGCTGTGCCCCCAGGTGTGGGAGGCAGAGCTCATCCTGGCCCTGCTGTGGCTCACTGTGTGGCTGGCGCATCACCGGTTCTTTCTGAACCTTTCCTAACTAACAGCACAGAGTTCAGCTGGAGAGAACTAAGACCCCGAGCACCTCAGATGGCGAGGAGCCCAGTGTTGCCCTGGGCTGCATGGAGAGCAAGGCCATGGAGCATGTGCCGGTGCCAGGGCATTATGGCACGGAGACCAGAAGCCAGGCCTCGCAAGCGGGACTGTGCTCCAGCCCCATCCCTGACCCCAGCAGCCAGGGGGCTGGGCATGCAAGACTCAGTTTCCTCATCTGTAAAATGGAGAAAAGCTCTCTTTCTCTCAGGGCTGCCATGCGGTGGAAGTGAGAGCAGTGACTCAGATAGAGCCGCTCCTGGGGACGGGGGCTTGCAGTCTGTCAGACGAGACCCCGGCTGCAGCCCTGTGGAAGCCTCCGGCTTTGTAACCTCGTGCAGCCTCAGACCGAACCCGAAGGAGTGGGAAAGACGTATCCTCCTTGGCGGCCAGACGGCGTTGGGGGTGGGGGGCATGTGGCCGGAGGCAGACATTCTTCAACCGTGTCTATGAGACAGTGGCTGATTTTGCCAATGTTCCCGAACCCCAGGTTCCCTTCCCGTAAATAAGAATCCTAGTACCTCATCGATGCACACACTTGCAACTCACCAAGTTCAAAGCCCGAGTTATTATTGCTACTGTTTGTCAATGAGGGAGATGAGAGGCAGGCCTACATGTTCCCATTTTAAGACAAGGAGCGTACACATAGAGGAACCCCAATGACAAGCTTGTCCCCTCTCTGCCCATTCATTCTCCAGGCAGTCGGAGGAGGCTGCGGGGACTGGCAGGTGGACCAGGCGAGGCCTGAGCTACAGTGGGCGGGACCCAGCCCTCACCCCTGAAATATCAGACCAGGCAGGTGGCCAGGGCACAGGGTGCTCAGGAGACAAAAACATGTCCAGCTCGTTTCCCAGTTGGGCTCTGCAAGCCAACACCAACCCTTTTTGCGCCATAAATAAATTTCACCTTTAAGTAAATATGGATTGACTTGACATATGTTTCCTTCTGCAAAAGAAAAAGGGCATTTATCCTGACTTCAGAAGCTGGTTCCTTATTTTCAGCTCCTCTCTGACACCACCCAGGGGACATGGGAGAAATTCTCTCTTCCCTTCCCCGGGGGTGATGTCAGGTCAGGCACGGATGGGCAGTGCTTGGTCCCCAAGCCACAGACAGACTCTGTCCCCACAGTCCTTCTCTAGATCTTTCTTGGGAACTCAGAGTGGATTTTCCCTCTGAAGCAATATTGCCTGTGGTTCTCTGACTGCCAGGCTGGACCAGCAGCCCGTTTCAGAGGCAGGGAGGAAAAAACAAGGCTTCGGAGGCAGATGGCCTGGTGTAACCCCGGGTCTGCCATGTCTAGCTTGCCACCCTGGGAAAGTGTCTCGGCGTCTCAGTGCCTCCCTTCCCCAGTCTGTCCATGCTGGAGACCACCAGCATTGTTTGACAATTCCCCTAGGGCCTCGGGCATTTCTGCAAGTCTTGTGACAGCTTTTGTTCTGGACTATTTTTTCAAGGATGTGTGTTTAGCAAACATTCTGGGAACATAGAAGTAGTCTTTCCCTCCTCTAGAACAGAAGGCAAATTTGTTTCTTTTCCAGGGTAATACAAACAACATCTCTCTCCAGCGCAAAGGTTGGGCAGGTTTGCTGGCAGCCCCCCAGGGAGATTGGGGCTTCCTAATCTCAGGGTTCCTCAGCTGTGACGCAGACCCGCTGTAGGCAGAGTGTCTACCTGGGAATGCCTCCCAGACGGCTTGTGAGACTAGGGGGCAAGGGGACCAGTTTGAACATGTAGCTCAGGTCGTCTGTTTTGCCTGGAGAAACAAGTCCTTTGTTTTTGTCCCAGAAGTCTCGTGTCTTCTGCCAGCATTCATGAACCTGGCAAGCTGACTGCTAGCTTGCAAGTAAAGTCTCAGACCCCCCACGGTTCTTGGCAGCCCACTTCCTGGCTGGAACACCCGCCCCGTTGCTGGAGGAGGGGGTGCCAGGTCGGGCCTGGCCCTTGGTGAGGGCTAAGAAGTAGTGGTTGGAACAGCTTTACTCTTGGTGGATGGGAAGCTGGTTATTCACAAGCACTCAGAATTCCCACCCAGGACGCCAGCAGTGCAGTGCGTCCCTGGCCCTGGGGTTAAGAATTCCATCCTGGCTGGGGGGTCTGGGAGCTGCTGCGACAGGCTTGCAGGGCCTGGGGCAAGGGCTCCAGAAGGGTGCAGTTCAAGTCGTCCTTGACCTCCTGTTTAATGCCCTCCCCTCCTCAGAGGCAGTCTCTAGGGTTAATTTTAAATCGTTCCAGAACTTCCCCCATGCTTGAATATGTTTAGAGAATATATAGTATATTTTTACATAAATGATTTACACTGTATGTATTATTTTTGCAATGTTCATTTTTACCTAAGGATACGTCTCAGAAATATTTCTGTGTCAACCCACTTGGCTTTTAAGAACTGCCAAGTGAGGTCCAGGAGGCTGGACCCGAGAGCTGTGTGCGTCTGCCAACCACCACCCCCATCCTGGTCCCCAGCACTCACCCTGTGCGCCGGCTCAGCTGTGACCTAGGTGGTCCTCGTCTTCAACAACCCCAGGAAGGCTCGCAGTGAAGAGGCACCACAGCAAATCATCAGGGAGACATTTCATGTGGCATCTGAGAGATGAAAATGTTTGTAATTTCCTAGAAGGAGAATTATTAATTGGAGGATCTGACAATAAACTGATTTATGGACATTATGACAGGTGATATTTTGTCTTCTGTAACGATTCTCCAGAAAGTGAACTTACTTGGCATTTGAGATCTGATTCAGGTGTTTGCGGAGACATTAGACAAGGGCTTTGGAAATGTCTGTGAACTGGATTTAACCAGACGAGGTTCCCAATATCCTTGCAGACGTGGTGACGGGGATGGTGCTGGAGACCAGCGTGAGTGAGACTGGTACCCAGACCGGTGCACAAAGGGAGCTGCAGAAACCCGAGGCTGACTCAGTGGCAGCCCCAGCCCGTGCCGCACCAGCTGCAGAGAACATGAATCTTCCCCAGATCCCAAGAAATGTTCACATTGGTGACATCAATATAAAGTGCCCAACCTGCTTTCTTTCAAATAAAAAAATTAAAAGGCCACTCCTAGGTAAAATCCAAGGGGGAGCCATCCACGTGTACTAAGCAGTGGTTTACCAGAAATGGAGGGGAGTTTGAACACTTGCTCTGGGATTTCAGTCAGGGTACTGTGTAGAAGTTGTGTGAAGTCAGCATGGCGGTTCCGTGTCCTTTTTCTTCCTCAGAGGTTTTGAAGAACTTGAGTAGTTCCAGTGTGATTTTTTCCTTTCTTTTTTAAACTGCATTCTTATGCACACCTAAGGGCATGCCTCTATGTATCGGCTACAACAGTATTTCAAAAAGTGTTTGAAACATTGCTTTAAATTATGTAAAACCTAAAATGTTGGTGTTTTGTATGGATCACAAGTACAGCATTTCTTAATTCTTTCTGTGACTTGCCACAATTGTTATTTAAAGAACCAAGTATGTATTGCATGAAAACATTATGACCTTTTCCTCTTAGTTTAAATAAACTCCAAGGTAACTGGATTTCTAAAGTTCCTTTCTATTTGCCTGATATCTACTTTAGCAATAATTTATTTTACAACCTCCTACTCAACAAAGTAAGTGAAAGTATATTTTATCACTGTTAAAAAAAGAGAGACAGACTTCCAGTCAAGATGGAAGCATAGGTAGATATGCTTCACCTCCTCATACAACCACAGAGAGAATGACAACTGTTTCTCAAAACAAATAACAACCAGAACCATCAGAAAATTGAGTTGTATGGGAGTCCAACAACCAAGGATTTAAAGCAGCCACACTCATCCAGATGGGTGAGAGGGGCGGGGTTGCAGAGACAGGTTGCAGCGCTGAGGCAGCAGCTGCAGTTGAACAGGCAGCCCCACAGTCTCGTGTGGTGGATTAAATCAGGAGAGACACCTTGGGAGCGAGTGATCTCAGCCCCAAGCCAGACCATACAGCCCAGGGTTCCAGCATCAGGAAGATAAATTTCCATAACTTCTAGCTGTAAAAACCAGTGGGTGTTGGGGTGGCAAAAGAAACTGCTGGATTTTCAGGGGAGTTTGTTTAAAGGGCTCCCATGGACTTAGAACATACCCAAACCCACCAACTCTGCGATTTACCACCAGGGCAACAGCTGGAAGAGTGTAAGTTGCATATGGGAAGTGGGAGAAGTGACTGGAAATGGGGAGAGTATTGGGCAAACCTCCAGAAACTAGGCAGTGGCATTGACCCCTTTCCAAGTTCTCCCCCCACACAGAGCTACAAAGTAGTGAAGTGGGTTGCCTCATCCTGGCGATTACTTAAGGCTCTGCCCCACACAATTTGCAGGTGACTTTTCTAAGACAGGGAGTCAAAGCAGCTCTACCTAATACACAGAGTTAAACACAGGGAGGATGCCAAATTGAGGAGACAAAGAAATGTGGCCCCAGTGAAAGAACAGAAGAAACCCCAGAAAAAGAACTAAATGAACTGGAGATAACCAACCTATCAGATGTAGAGTTCAAAACACTGGTGATCAGGATGCTCAAAGAACCCATTGAATATGGCAAAAACATAAGGGAAGAAATGAAGGTTATATTAAGAGAAGTAAAGAAAAATCTACAGGGAACCAACAGTGAAAGGGATGAAGCCAAGAATCAAACCAACTATTTGGAACACAAGGAAGGAAAAAGCATTCAATCAGAGCAGCAGGAAGAAAAAAGAATTTTAAAAAATGAGGAGGGGCTTAGGAACCTCTGGGACAACTTTAAACGTACCAACATCTGAAGCATAGGGGTGCCAGAAGGAGAAGAGGAGGAAGAGCAAGAAATTGAAAACTTATCTGAAAAAATAATGAAAGAAAACTCCCTAATTTAGTGAAGGAAATAGACATACAAGTCTGGGAAGCACAGAGAGTCTAAACAAGTTGGATCCAAAGAGGAACACAATAAGACACATCATAATTAAAATGCCAAAGGTTAAAGATAAAGAAAGAATCTTAAAAGTAGCAAGAGAAAAGCAGAGAGTCACCTACAAAGGAGTTTCCATAAGACTGTAAGATGATTTCTCAAAAGAAACTTTGCAGGTAAGAAGGGGCTGGAAAGAAGTATTGAAAATCAAGGACATACATCCAAGATTGCTCTATCCAGCAAAGCTTTCATTTCAAATGGAAGGGCAGATAAAGTTCTTCACAGACAAGGTCAAGTTAAAGGAGTTCATTATCACCAAGCCATTATTATTACATGAAATGTTAAAGGGGCTTATCTAAGAAAAAGAAGAAGATGAAAACTATGAACATTAAAAGGGGAACAAATTCACAACTATTAACAACTGAATCTACAAAAATAGACTAAGCAAACAACCAGAACAGGAACAGAATCATAGATACGGAGTTCATTTGGAGGGTCATCAGCTGGGAGAAGGAAGGGGAAGAATGAGAGAAAGGTACACAAGTTAAGAAGCATAACTGATATGTACAAAATAGACAGGGAGATGTTAAGAATAGCACAGGAAATGAAGAAGCCAAAGAACTAAGCATATAAGTGCATGAACTAAGAAGGGGATTACTGAAGGGAAGCAGGGTACTGGGTGGAAGGGGTTTAAAGTGGGGAAAACTGGGACAGCTGTAATAGCATAATCAATAAAATATATTTTAAAAAAGAAGAAGAACTGCTGGGTGACATTCACAATATGAGTAAACACCATCTAGCAACCACTCCCCTCTGGATGGACACTTGGTTGCTTCCGCTCTTCGTCAGGACGGAGAAGATGCACATTGTGCACACACCCTCCCAGGTGTATAGGTGAGGGCTTCTCCAGGTGAAAGTGAAGATGCTCCGCCCTCGTATTACAAATATGGAAATGGAGACCCAGGCCTGCAGATGTCCCTAAGATCGCACTGAGTCTCAGCCTGCTGTGTCCCCCTCCTCCCTCCACTAGGAATCACCACCACGAGAGAGGTGAGGGGGTGTCGGACTCCAAGCTCAGGGATAGGAGGGTAGGGGCAATTGGGTCACTGAGGCCCTTCTCCCAGAAATACTGACAGGTCCTGTGGAGACAACTCGTGAGGAAGCACAGAGGCCCCTGGGGAACCACGATGTGGGTGCCAGAGGGGAACTATGGGCCACCAAGGGCCCCAGGTTTCCCGAGAACCCTCTCCTAGGTGCCCCACTTTGGAAAGAAGCTCTGCCAGAGGGGACCCTGTGTTCAAAAGCTATGAAGTCTTCTTGGGGGAGGGGCAGCCTCCTCAAGTTCAACCTAGAATCTGTCCACTAGCATTCAGGTCTCCTAGGTCGCTGCTACCTGTCACATTATGCTCATAGCCCAGGCATTACAGACCCAACCAGTCATGCCAGCCAACAGGGCAAGACCTAGCAGTTCGACCAGCCAAGACACCAGGTCTTTGACGGAAATGCCAGCTCATGTCCCTGAGAGCCCCCGCCAGGCTCTGTACTGGGCTTACTGGGCTTGCTGGGGACATCCGTGGGAGACACAGCTTGCTGAGGCCAGGCTGGCAGCAGGATGTGATATCAAATATAACAAGTGAATCAGAATTAACTAACAGTTAATTAACTCTCCTCTTACTGGGAGCTCACGTGCCAGGTTCTGTGCCAAGCCCTTCACTCCACCTCTCCCACCCTTACAATACCCCGCGGGTAGGCACCACTGCCACCACCATCGCACAGGAAAGGGCACAGGCTCTGAGAGGCGGGGAGCTCGCCCGGCTCCCACAGCCAGTCAGTGATGACTCCGGGACTCAAACCCAGGCCCGCGTCTCTGGCCTTGTGCCACCAAATAGTTCTTTACCTTTAAAGAGGGTTGGGGCCCTTTGAGATTCCAGCAAAAGCCCTGAGGCTTCTCATCAGAAAAATCTCTGCAGCATAAACACTCAACCCACCTGTGTGCTCCAGGCCCACTTCCCGGTGTTCAGCAGGCCGTCCACACAGGGCCTGTGCTCGGAAGGGAACTGCTTGGCTCCTGTGCCTTTGTCGCCCTCAGGAAAACACTAATCCTTTTAGAACAATGGGTCCACATTTTCAAGTTGCACTGGGCCCTGCGATTTGCGTCTTGTCTGGGCCGACACTTCGAGCACACAAGCACACACGGACGCACACCACAATTTCGCAAGTGACACTCAATGTGCAGGAATCCCAGGAGTCCATTCAAAGACTCAAGAAAGACGCTTTTTGCTTTCCCTTGCTTCCTGGAATGCGGTGTTTGTATGCACATGTGTGTGTTTGCAGGTGTGTGTGGGAGTGTGGGTGTGGCAAGTCGTCAGATGGAGCCGTGTGCCCAGGCAGGGCGCTGGGCCCGTGAGCCGAGGACGAGGTGCCAAGGATGGCACTGACCTTCACAGTCTGTGACAGCAGCTACTTCACCTCTGAGAGGGGAAACCCACCCCTGGCTGTTTATGAACCGCCTTGGCAGTGAAGCCATGTCCTTAAAAACCCGCCTCCTTGGGGACGGGACAGGGAGCCCCTGTCTGTCACGGTGGCCTAGGTAAACATGGGAAGGCGCCCAGCAGCGGATGCTCAGGCCCACTGTCTGCCACAGGGCTGTTGGAGTCGGGCTTGGCATTCAGCTCAGAACATTGCCTCCTGTGGTCGGCTGGGGGCTTTCTGCGCCTAGGCAAGTGGGGGACACTGAGATGGCCACACGTTCCCCGCATCCCCGAGGACGACGGGGGCACAGGGAG